ATGTCAAGGCTTGGCCATCAAGTCGGGGGATACGGAGCTGGAGATCGTCAATGTGTACATACCACCCGCCACCAGTTGCTCAGCTGGATACCACCCTAACATAAGTGCGCTATTAGAGGGTGTGAACCGGGTAGTGCTAGGCGACTTCAATGCGCACCACGAACTCAGGCACTCCAATCTGGGCAATGACCAGCGGGGTACAATGCTCGCTGAGCAAATTGACGACTCCACGTTCTGCACTGTGAATGATGATGCCCCCACCAGGGTCGCGGGTGACTGCTATAGCTCGCCAGATATAACTATAGCAAGCGGGGGTCTGATAAACTGCATTGGATGGCAACCAGTGCTCACGCTCGCATCAGACCACCTGCCCATAGTAGTCGCCATAGACCAGCCAAGAGATTTTATGACATCCGAGAACCGCACATTCATGAACACACGGAAGGCGAACTGGGACGGTTTCACGGAATTCACAGATCGCAAATTCAATGCTCTTCCTCTACCATCATGCGCGCGCGCAGCAGAGCGCAATATCCGCAGGATCATCAACGCAGCAGCCGCTCGCTTCATACCAGCCGGCCGGATCGCCAAAATCCGCCCAGGATTCCCCACTGAAGCGGCGGGACTCGCAGACGAGCGTGATCGAATCCGCCAGGCTAATCAAGGGGATCCCCGTATAAGAGATCTCAATAGGGACATTAGAAACCTGGTCAACGAACACAAGCGGAACAAATGGAATGAGCATTTAAAATCCTGCAACCTCTCTAGCGGAGCCAGCAAACTGTGGTCCACAGTCAAGTCCCTCTCCAATCCGACGAAGCGTAGAGACAACGTCGCTCTCACCTTCGGCACCACCACCACGTCGGATCCGCTGACGTGCGCGCGCTTCTTCAGCCGGCAATTCATTGCACACCCGGAGAGAGACAAAACCCGCCGCAGCGTGCTGCGGAAAGCACACAAACTCCGCCCCCTAGACACACCACTGTGCTTCACCATCGAAGAGACGCAGGCAGCTGTCAACCACGCCAAGTCATCGAAGGCGTTAGGCCCAGACGGAATTTCCATGCAGATGCTGAAAAAGCTAGGACCTGCGGGAGTCGAGTATATGACCGCCGCTTTCAACTTGTCACTGTCCACCCTGATCATCCCCGAGATGTGGAAAATGGGTAGGATCATTCCCCTCCCTAAGCCAGGGAAGAAGGCGGACGCAGGAGACTCGTGCAGACCCATCTCCCTCCTATCCCCAGTGACAAAAACCATGGAAGCACTACTCCTCCCCAGCCTGACGAAGCATCTGAAGCTAGCCGAACACCAACATGGATTCCGGAAAATGCACAGCACGACAACAGCATTAAACACCATTACCACACAGATTAGCGAGGGTCTGAACCAACGTCGACCCTGTGATAGGACGGTCCTAGTCGCTGTGGACCTGTCGAAGGCTTTCGACACCAGCTATCTGTGTGGTCGTCAGTCATCGGTCGAATTTCGAAACGCCAAGTCTAAGCCGCGTAGAATTAAACAGGGGGTCCCCCAAGGCGGCGTACTCTCCCCGACACTGTTTAATCTCTACATGGCCAAACTCCCTCCGCCGCCAGCAGGAGTAAACTTGGTAAGCTACGCCGATGACTGCACAATAATGGCAACTGGCCCCAACATAGACAGACTTTGTGAACAAATAACCGACTATCTCACCGATCTTTCCAACTTCTTCTCCGCAAGGAACCTCCAAATCTCCGCCGCAAAATCCAGCGCCACACTTTTTACGACCTGGACCAAGGAGGTGGGGCTAGAACTGGACGTCTTCGTCGATGGCGCCAAAATACCGACGACCAACCACCCTAAAATCCTAGGAGTGACGTTCGATAGCCTCTTCTCCTTCTCCGCGCACGCCACAGCCACATGCAACAAACTGCGAGCCAGGAACAAAGTCCTAAACTCGCTAGCCGGCAGCACCTGGGGAGCCAACAAAGAAACCCTGCTCGCGACCTACAAGGCAATCGGCCGGTCAGTGGCTAACTACGCGGCACACGTGTGGACGGCGGGGACAAGCGACACCCGATGGAGGAACCTCCAAACCTGCCAGAATGCAGCTCTACGTACGGCTACAGGTTGTCATCTCATGTCGTCCGAGCATCACCTACATGAAGAAAGCCAGATGCTGGCGGTGAAAGAGCACAACACCATGCTGTCGAAGCAATACCTCGTGGGCTGTCACCGAGGGAATCACCCCAACAATGCCTTGCTTCGTAACGAACCGCCCCCACGACACGTGAGACGACACCTGCATGACTGGAAAGCGGACATTGAGCCGTACGTAGACCATCCATTCGACGCAGCAACATACAGAGCGGCGCTCAACAGCCTACACAGCGATGCGGTCAGAACGAGCCTCAGTACGCGTAATGACAACATCGTCTTGGGCGGTCGACCGCCGCCCATAGACCCAGAAGAAATAGAGCTGCCGAGAGAGACCAGGTGCACCCTAGCACAACTCCGTTCTGGGTGGTGTCACCGACTCAACAGCTACCTCTCTCGGCTGAACACACAAGTGGCAAACACATGCCCTGCATGTGGGCAAGGTCCTCACGACACCCAGCACCTCTTCACGTGCACCTCCAACCCTACGACCCTGACACCAGAAGCGCTCTGGACCGCGCCTATCGACGCAGCCCGCTTTCTCGGCCTCAGGCTCACAGAGTCGGAGGATGAAGACGACGACACATGACAAATCTGGGGGGTTGAGCACTGCTGCTACAACAACAACAACAACATTGTAGATGTTTTCTTAAAATATTAATTTCACTCAATTTGTAATAGTTTATTGCGCATAAATCTGCGGTTATGAAAAATTTACTGCTGTCAAAAAAGATCTCATTTCACACAGCAGATTGGCAAAACTGTCTCACCATAGTAAAAATATTATTCAACAGCTTTCCCCATAGAACTTTGCTACCGATTCACACACGCCCATATATGTAATTCCGCTGAACAGGTGCAGGTTGTATGCTTAGAAAAAATAATTATATCCCAACAAACACCAAAAAAATATTTCTCCAACCTTGGAAAAATTCATAGTTCTTATGTTGATATCCAACATCATTCTACAACTCATCTCTCATTTTTAACCGACTTCCAAAAATGGAGGAGGTTATCAGTTCGTCGGAATATTTTTTTTTTTTTTTTTTTTATGTATGTTACCGCATAACTTTGGCCCACGTCACCCGATTTCAATAATTCTTTTTGCATCGGAAAGGTAGTGTCTCAGAGGTGGTCCCATACTAATCTGGTTAAGATCCGATCAGCGGGTCATGAGATATATATATATATATTTTTTTTTATATGAGAGTTGAAGTTGTTTTTTTTTTTGCTAAAAATTACTTGTTAAGTATCGAGTGAAAAACTAAAGCTATATAAAGAAGAAAATTACCAACAAAAATAAAATACTCTTCAAAGTATCTTGAAAGAAAATAAACGCGAAGTGAATCAGGTTGCAGAATTCATGTCGGACTATATCGATGGCTGAGTGGAAGATCGACCTATCTCGGCAGCCAGTTCGAAAACATTCTATCTCAAAAAACTTTTCAAGAACGCTCTATTTCAGAATTCGTTTGAAAAACGCCCTATCTCAGCTGCCGATTCAAAAACGCCCTATAACAGCATATTTTCAATACATTTTGAAGTGAGATAGGGCATTTTTGAACCGAATTTTGAGATAGGGTGTTTTTCAATAAAATTCTGAAATAGGGCGTTCTTGAAAAGTTTTTTGAGATAGAGCGTTTTTGAACTGGCAGCCGAGATAGGTCGATCTTCCACTCAGCCATCGATATGCTGTGAAATGAATTATTGTAATACGATATTGATTAATTACATAATAAAAAAGGAGTTATAAAATAAAAAATTCATATTTAAATTCATCTATGTATGATGTCGTTTCAATCAAAAAGGTATAAGTTATTAATCGACTTACAAAACAGGAGAAGGTTATCAATTCGTCGGAATATATATATATATATTTTATGAATGTTACCGCATAACTTTGGACCACTCAATAGGTTGTCCCATACTAATTTTGCTTAGATCCGATCGTTTGATCACAATAAAATTTACGCTACTTCTAAATTTTTATATGAGAATTAAAGGCGTCTGTATTTTTGCTTAATAAATACTTGTTTTACTATTTCAATTTCAGTATTTCAATGATATATTTGAGACCAATTGGAGAATCACATTAAAGTTCAAGTTGAGAACTAGCATTTTCTCAATTTCAGAAACAGTCGTATTGTCAAAAAAAATGCCCTTTTTGTTGAGAACGCTTGAGGTGCTGTTGAGAAACAACGTTGGAGATTTGAGAGTATCTTAACCTCAAGTTGAGCTCAAACCTAAATGTTTGTTGGGATCGCACACATTTGAAAAAAAAAAAATTATCGGATATACGTACATAGCCTAGAAGAAACCAATAAACAAATATAGAAATGGAAAATGCAACGCACAATAGCATGAGGAAGTATTTTTTAACATTTGATTATGAGAAAATGAAAGCTTTGAATGAAGCAAAATATGAAGACAATGGAAAAACCCAAATCACAACAAATACTAGTACCTAAAATACCTGGAAGAAATTGACTCCTACCACTGTAATGAATACCAAACAACAGACGTCTTCTTGAGCTGAAAACCCACCTATATTTCACACCGCTCCTCTTAACTTTAAGCTAAGCAACTAAGTGCAAATGTACTTAACATATTACAAACCCATTACGGCGCTTGCTAAAATTTGTATACATTATATACATAGTTATTATCTGCCGATCTAGTTATACATATATACATATATATAAATTGGATTTTATAGTACATAGATATAGATATATGTCTGATTGTATGCATATGTAAACTATGTAAAAGCTCATTCTACATGACTGCATAAAACTATTTGGTTAACATGTTCAATTAGTTGATTAGTACTCGAGTGTTTTTTTATTCATATTCCCACTTACACTTTATCAGCCAATTCGCGCACCTTCCACATGCTGATGAATTTATCAACCATTTTGCTTTACTTTTTCCTGCTTGTGCTGACTGGTACCTTCGAGCTTCGAAATTTCTTCACTATCTTGACTGGTTACAGACTTCGTTGTGCACTATTGCAAAATTCCTACGATTTTCTATCCGCACCCGTTCACTTTACGCTCTTTTTAAGCTTTTACTAGAACACGTTTCATACAATTCCAAATTAACTGTTACGCACCGTACAATTTTGCATAGGAATTAAGCAATGAAATTAAAAACACAACCAAATTTGCTGAAGTTTTAGAAAATAATTTGTGGCAAAATGTATTGAAAAGAACACAAAAAAGTTTTGGTGATTTGTCACCAGGGTTTATGTATCACACTAAATGAATACACAGTTGCAAATTTTGTATTATGTGATTTTGAAAGAGTGCGCACTTTTCCGCAGGTTTGCATTAGTAAACTAGTTAAAAAAGATTTTAAAGGGCCATTCACATACAACTTTCCTCGCTTTGCTTGACAGTTCAAACTTTGACAACAAAGCGCGAAACGCAGAAGTATGCTACAATAAACGCTTTGACAGCTTTTGCGTTCTCCTTTTCCTCCATATTTTGTATCTATAGAATAGATAGCAATATAATAATACGCATTAATAATAACAATAAAAATTCCTATTTACCCTATTTTTGTCATTAAATGCAAATGCAAGCGCACAAAGAAAGATAAATGTAGACAGCTGATTGCCAAAGCGGGCAAAAGTTGAGAGTTGCCCAAGATTTGCTTCGTTTTGCTTTGCTTTGCTTCAAATGTTTTTTATGTGAGCATACTCATGCATCGATCCCCTACCTACATCGATCTTATATGTCAAAGCAAAGAACTATCAAGCAAAGCGAAGAAAGTTGTATGTGAATCAGCCTTAAGGGTTTGCCATAATCGGTCCGTTTTATATGTATGTACGTGGCGGAAGTATATTCCAGCGGATTGTATGTTTTGGTTTGCCGTAAAGGAGCATCCACTCATTCTTAATTTAAATATAATTAAATGAAGTACGCGGCTATAAATAAACCGTTTTCATACCTTGTCAGCTGTTGATGCATTTCAAATATATTGGCATTTTGTCTTTTCTTTTCTAGCAGATAATTATCAGGAATGAGAAAATTGAAAGAATTGCCCTCGCAGAGAGCGAAATAACGAAAAGGAAAAGAAACGCAAAACTAGCAAGTAATCAGCTGATCGGTGTATTTGACTGTTGAAAATATTTGGCGCGAATTTTTGTTTATCCATTTTGACGTCGGCCGCTGTGGTGTAGTGGTAAGCAGTGCTCGCTTTCATTATCAGCACCTGTTTTCAAGCCCTGGTCAAAGGTTTCCTCTTAACAAGCGTCGTCCCTCGGCAGGCAATCGACTTTTTTCTTTTGCTTTATCTTGAGCGTGTGCCTGTATTCATTCCGGATCTAGAATAGAATAATCGTGCTTTACCCGGAATAATGGGAGTTAAGGAACAGAAAAAATGAAATTATTAGGTATCAACTAGATAAGAACGATGATCCCTCCACTATCCTCTGGGGACAACTTCTTGTTCTGTCAAAATTTTAGGCCAAAAACTTTTTTATCTCTTTATATAAATCTACGATTCTGTTTTGAAAAAAATAAATAAAACTATTTGCAAAAAAACTGCAAAGTTGTTTTTACAAAATTTTGTGACTGTGAAACAGAAAAGTTCGGCATTTAGTTCAAAACTTTATCCATGATAAAGGCCCCGCCAGATAGAAAATCTTTTTTGTGCCACAGGGATGCTTCTGAATGACAAATCGCACGGAACATGGTGAGACGGCACAATAAAAACGTTGCCGTACACCAAACATCCCAATTTGACTGGTCAAAAATCAGCCGGTTTGAATTCGATCCAATCATTTTTGTTGTTGTTTTGCCACATATGCGCGCGCCAAAAGTTGAAAATTTTGAGAATTTTACCAGTTGCGGCAATGCATGCGTTGCCAATGTGGCGCCTTTTATTCAAAATCATAGAGTTAACTTGGATGTCGGTCAAAAAACCAACCCTGTAACGCAGAAAAGATTTTCTATCTGGCGGGGCGGTATATTAAACAAGGGGTGTGACAGCTCAGTAAAGGCCTCATTTAAGGTACGTCACAAAATATAAACAAACGATTTCAAATTCATAATTTTTCTATTTGACTTTATAGGATGGTTCTTATGAGATCAACGTCAAATTCTATCACACTTTGTTAAATAAATGTATGTGTGAGTTTGTGAGTGAATTTAAAATTAAACCTCCAAGCACGTCAAGAATTTTGAAAGTTCCTCTCTGCGTTTCTTACTTACTATAGTTTTATCATGCTAAAAATGTACACTAGCTTTTACTTTTTACTTTTCAGCAAAAGCTGGAGAAAATTTCTATTAAAAATAGGAAAATGTTTAGTTACTGACCCACCGTTTCGAGGGTGGAGCGGAGGGGGCATGGCCCTCTAAACCCCTCCCTTTAGAAAGGGGACAGTCCCCACTTTATAAAAGGCTGCACCCCGCTTATCAAAGTTGGATTTTGTATAAAAAAGTTAACTAAAAATGTTGCTAAAGAAAAGATTCAATAAAAACGTTGTTAAATTTAAAAAATCGCAGCAGGTAAAAATCTTATAGTAATACTTATGACAGTATTTTTTGAGTAGGTGGCCTTTCGTTTTTCCGGCTTTCAGCAATAGTTAAATTGTGTAACTGAAAGCCTGAAAAGCTAGTTGTGGAGTTGTACTCTTAGGGAGTAAAACCCTCACTAAGTAGAATTCTCCTTTATGTGTCGCCGAAGAAGGAGGGCTGAACACATTTTGCAGAGAACACCTTTCTGTGTAGGCGGCCTTTGGCCGCACTTAGGAATTATAACCCTCACTAAGTAGAATTATCCTTTCTGAGTTGCCGAAGAAGGGGGCTGAATACCTTTTCCAGAGAACACCTTTCTGTGTAGGCGGTCTTCGGCCGCGCTTATGGATTATAACCCGCAGTAAGTAGAATTCACCTTTCTATGTTGACGAAGAAGAGAGGTTGAACACCTTTTGCAGAAAACACATATTTTCCATGAAAGGGTTTACATTTTTAGTGCTGACTGGATTATATCTTATTTTATTTTGTCTCGTCCATCCATATTTTGGAGTTTGACATTTGAACCCTGCCATTTAATTTGCATATCCAACCAAAGGCACAAGCATGATTTTCAAGGTGTTCTCCCGTCTCCACGGGATAAAATTTATTGCTGTCCAGCCATGAACCAAAAAGACAAGATCACGCGGGCAGGAGAGTAGCCCGTTAGAATCGCATTAAGGAAAAAAGTTGAACGATTTTGACATTAGCCGTTTATTTACATTTCTTCTTTGTTTACAATTTGGTGGTGGCTTTTTACTGCAATTTTCTTCATTTTCGCTTGTGACAACGTGTGTACACATAAGATAAAGAATAATTTAACACAACGGCATGATTTTTAGAAGAATTTGCATAATAAAAATGATTTTTCATGCGTTCAACAATTTCGCGGTTTTCTCCGTTCTCTTCGTTGTTTACTTCTTACAGCAAAAATGGCGTCGAGATTTCGGCAGCTAGAAAATAACTTTTTTCGTTCTTTCCGTCCCGCGTGATCTTGTGTCTTTCGTTCATGCTGTCCAGCTGTTGTTGTTGTAGCGGCTACTAAGCCCCACTCGGGTCGGTTCATCCGTCAACGTTGTCATCTGTTTCAGATTCTTGATATAAGCATTTGTAAGATGGCTTCGAAAAGGTATTTTTGTCGAACTTAATCACTTAAAAATTTGGAAAATAAGCTATTTTACATCCAAGCACATAATATCAAATCTCTTAATGGAAAAGAGCTAAATTTTTGCTTTTATATTAAAATATCAATATTGTTGCGGCCACGAAGTTTTCGTGCAAATGAAAATGTAGCTGACGAACAACCAAATTGCCGGCAATAGATGGCAAGACATAAGCCCTGATATATATTGCTCTTGAAGAGGCATGAGTGGCCTCCTTCATGGTTCAATAATACAAGGTTCGATACACTGACAGCTGTCTCTCTCGCATACAGCTAAATAGCACAAGGATTACGTAATTCACGTAGATATATTAATATTTCGTTCAATATTTCGCTTAAAATGCCAGATTTTCTGCAAATACATTACAATTTACAAAAGTAATTTCAGTACTAATTGCTTACTTTGCGTACTTTTCTACTACCATTTTCGCAACAAGGAATTGCATTCTTCCCCTTTCTCTGTCCATCGTAAATGCAACCTTTTGGAAAGGAGTGTTAAACCGCGGCTGTCAATAATTATCTGACCTTGTATTATTGAATCATGGGTCTTCTTTAGGTATTCTTAATAAATTACGTGCCTAAAGTAACAAAAGTAGCTGTTAAAATAGTGGGTAAACCTAGGTTTAAAGCTTTGGCCCGTAGTCATAGTCAAAATAAAGTCGACTTTAAAGTTAGTTGCAGCTTTTTTGACAGATATCCCATTGAAAATTATGTCAAAAAGCTGCAACTAACTTTAAAGTCGACTTTATTTTGACTATGACTACGGGCCTTTGACTTCAAGTGCGTGGAATATTTTTTTTTGATCGGGTCATTCATTTAGATGCTATAGTCCGAAATATGTGCCTATGTACTTCGTATGAGAACGTACCATTATGACTTCGTAGTACGGAATAAAATAGTCGATCGCCGGACCGATAGCAATCGTTCTTATGAGATTATAATATTCTTCCATCCCTAAAGATGTCTTATTGCATTTTGACGTTTAACTCGCGGTGTCTGTTGATTTTTTATTACACATTGTGAAAAATGTAAATTTTGTGAAATAAAAATTTATTTACTATTTGATTTTTATGATGTAATTTTTAGATCATGTTTTAAGCTTTATAAAAATCTTACAAGCTTATAATTTGTTCTTGCATTTATTTTTATAATTGTTATTTGTCATCAACAACGAGAAGGTTATGTAAATCATTGTATCAATTGCAGCGGGTTCCACTAGACAACACCAGCGCTTTACTAGTGTAGAAAATGTTAGGATTGCAGCGCATTGCCGGAGGTGTTGCCGCACAGCTTTTTCGCCATATGCAGTATGCTACATACAGCACATCAGTGCGTGGGGCCGGAATAACAGCGGCGGCGGAAGCAACACCAAATCAAGGCGACGTTTCGACGCCAACTACTGGCGAAAAGGTGTTAAGTCCACCACCCAATGATGCGTCTGATGCTAACGTTAAAAAGCCGAAAAGTAAGCTAGTTTCTCAGCCAGGTGAAATTTATTTAAATATATTTTCTTGTAGGTTCTCTGGTGGCTGCAGCTTTTGAATCACTCAAGGAAGACAGTGGCAGTACGGACATAAAGGTACAATCTAAAACCTCAGGTTCTAATGGAAGCAACAATTTAGATGAGAAAATCCGTAACGCAAAGACGGTGAATGGGTTGCTGTCTGTATCCGAATTAAATGGACCACTTTCACGGAACCATGCGTTGAAAATTGTCTCCATATTAGCTGAGTGGAGCTCAATAAATCGTGCAAATATAGCCGAATTTGAAAATGATGCACGCTTTCTGCGTGTTTGTCGTGTGTTAGGTCGCACTGTACCTAAGAGTAGCAATGGAAGTGGTGCAGGCGCAAATGAAAATAACGTGTCCAAACGTATATCCGGGTTTCGTACTGATGACCTTAACACAGTGTTAGGAGTCGCAGGAGATGATGATGCTGCAAAGCTGATCGCTAGTATAAGTTTACCACAAATGGTTAAAGTTATGAGTACACTGGCGCAGCGGGGGCGAAGAAGCACACCACTTCTTCGTTCTCTTGCCTTTAATATTAGTAGCACAACAGAACAGCTGGATCTGAAACAGTCGGCAGACATATTGTATGCAATGGCTAGTTTGAATTTCCAGGATTCTGTTCTAGCCGCAAAAATGTGTGCCGATATACAGACAGTGCTCCCAAAGAATACTGAGAAATCTGCTGTCGTTGGCTCAATTTTAACAAGTTTGGGTATAATGAAGTACCGTGACTTAGGTGGGAACTTAATGAAATAATAAAAATATGATTTGATATATAATCGAAATATGTTGTACTTCACAGATATAATGGAGGCTTTGACTCAATGGATACTAAAAAATTCCGAAATTTGTCGACCACAGGATATAAGTGCATTGTTTATTACTTCAGCTATATTGAATTTCAGAACCACCAATATAGATGAAGTTCGAAGAAAGTTGGTCACATCTATAGTTAGTGCGGATTTCCAGAAAAGTAATGATTGGCTGAATCACGTTTGGGCGCTAGCAATGTTGCGGCTTGTAAATCAAGAGCAATTGAAAACTGTTCTGAGGTAAAAAAGATCTAGCCCTAGATTTAATTTATTTATTATTTTTATGATGTTATTTTTATTCGTAAAGTCCTGAATTCATTGAAAAACTTGAAATTGAGCGCAATGGTCTCTCGCCTACAATTAAAATGAAGCTATTGAATTTGAATGCATATGCTCAACTTTTGGCTAGCGATTACAATGGGGCACTACTGCCTTTAGAGAGTGATGTGTACAATTTACCAATGGCACATTCAAAATCTAAGCAAGTTCTAGTTAACGGCATGTTGGACGCTCTCAAAAGTTTGTTGCCAGCGAGTAATCACATGAAGAGTTTATATGACAGTAAAATGGGATTCCTAATTGGTAAGCTTTGCTCATAAATCTGTTGTAATGTGCCCGTAATTTTTAATTTTTTTAGACGCTCTATGTTTATTTGACAACAAACGAAATCCATTATCTATGGATAAAGAAAATCCGAATGCAATCAAGTATGTATGAGAATAGTGTTAAAATTATATAACCTAACAGATGTCCCTTTATGAAATATTTCCAAGCCTGAAAATTTAAATACAAATGTATATGTACCTGATGGAGTTACATACATTTTTGCTGAAGGCAATATCACACGATTGCGCATTTGCCCAAAATTTGATACAAATCGTGTCCCAATCGTGTGAATGCACAAATATCTTTTCATCCTTGTCGCAGCTAACGATTTGTATACATTTTTCAATAGAAGTTCGCTGTGTCATGTGACTACAAAAAAATTGTAGTCCCAACTTTTTATTTTGCAGTTATTCAATGATATATAAATATTTCATGTGATTTGTGAAACTATTTATAATTCTGTGTTCGTATGGAAAAGTAGCTTATGTCGAAAGGCTGGCTTTAGTATAAATCGGCATTCGCAGCATACGATTGCGAATGACTTTCGGGCGCTAAGCCGTTAAACAACTTTTAGCAAATAAACGTGCAAGAAAAATTTCCGATACTAGCAAGTCAATATTCTTTTTAAGTCTGATCAAAAAATTCCTTGTCGTTTAAAAAATAAAGGGAATGCCGCATTATACTAAAGCCGGCCTTTCGACATAAGCTACTTTTCCATACGAACACAGAATTTATCGAATATTAAACAACAGAAATTTATCGCAAAAGAATTAGTCTACACTGAAATTTTTTATGATTAGACTATAATATAAACAAAGAAATACATAATTAATTTAGCATTAACTGAAAATGATATACCTTCAACTCTTAATATTTATTTTGGTGGTTATTTCTCTTAAATTATGCATAAATTTATATTTCTTTTTTAAGGGTCGCATTGATGGTTGTCGACTTTCATGATGTCTGCCATGGTACTCATCGATCAGCTGGAGGCATTACGAACCTTACCTTTGAGCTGTTGGAAAAAAGTGGATACAAAGTCATACCAGTTCCGTATAATGAATTCAATACTAGCGACAAGCTGCTGAAACGAGTGCAGTATTTGGAAGCGAAGTTCAAGGCGATAATCAGTAATAAAATTGAAGCATGATTATGGTTAGCTATCTGAGTAAGGCACACTAAGCATGCATATTGGTGGCTAATACGCCAATTTGTGAGCGGCGCAATGGTTAACAAAGTTTATGATTGACTTTTGCATCGCGCTGCATCATAAGTTTATCTATCGCTTCTTCTGAAATAATCAAAAAATAATTTTCATCTTGTTTATCATTTCTTACCATCTTTCACGCGGAGGCGATAAAATGCAATGTAAAAAAGTGTAGATTTGCCGTATCGAAGGAAGGTACAAATTTAGTAAATGTTAAATTTTATTTAAAAAATAAAATGTTAATTTTAAAAACATTCTGCTAATATATTCTTAAAATCGCCCATAGTGATAAAGCAAGTATTACGTTTGCACTCTTTCATTTTACTCGCATTTTTTCTTTTCAATGCGGGCTGCCATAACTGGCTTGGGGCGTGGATATAGGTTCGGTGGCGGCACAGTTCGCTGCTTATTCAATCCAACACGGAACCATTGTCCGGTCTCAACAAATTCAGTGGCGATTTTAGTCATTTTATGGAATGCAGCGCGCGCCAACATATGCCTATTGCCTATCTCAAGTACCAATTTATGGTCGTACACAGTGGTTGGATCGTCCAGTCTGTAATGATCGCGTGCCTCATACTCAGTAAGGCAAATACAATTCCACGGTGACCAATCTTCACCTTTCAACCAGCGCGGCAAACTGTCGAAGAAGGTAAGCAAAAATATGTAAAATTATGAAAAAGGCAATAAATATATACAAAGTATGTATGTATGCATGTATAAATGTTGCATATCGTTTTAGTGTTTCTCGCTCAAGTCTTTCGTTCTGATTACAGCACTCATAATTACCGCAAATTGCTTAATACCGCATTCTTGCTAAGTATTGAATGACTATGCCAAATTTGGTCAATAATGTAACGTATGTCATCCATTTGCAGTACGAATGCGAATGAGGCGTTGCTGCGGCGCTTGCGTTCGTCTCGCTGAATGGCTCGCAATATGGCCGCATACGTCTTGTTGTCAGTCGAGGCCAGCTAAGAATGGCAATAGAAAAGGTACGGAAGTTATTTCTTCTATTTTAATCACTTTTTCGCGTTGTCGCTGCATCAGCGGCTTATTTGTGGTAGGAGTTGCACCATATGTGTGTGCATATATATCTACATACATACTGAGTTACCTTCATGTAATAGCAACGTTTGCAAGTGTCCACATTGTTTTGACGCGTACGCAGCGCAAACTGGCTAAACGGCTTAACCTCCTTACACACTTCGCACATGCGTTTTTCACCAACTGAAAAAGGGAACGACGCACATGTCATAAAATGCGTGAAATACCATGTGAATGATTTGGAGGGCTTAGAGTAAAAACCAGACTACGTCAATGGATTAGTGGAATGTATGCGATGATAATGTCGAAATATATCGCCTTTTTTATTACAAATACTGAAATATAAATCTTAATATATGCATAATAGGATAAAACAGTTTTATTTTATTTTTGAAAAAAAAAAATCTTTATGAATGCAATATAATAAATTTTGTTTGATCGAAATAAGCATTGCAAATAAAAAAATTAACATTATTTCGACGTTACACATATGTACGTTCGTATTGCATATAAAAATCAATTGCTTACTAAAATAATTTCAAGTGCGCTTACTCTGCTATAATGGCTGTTCTGACTTAATTAAATTTAATAAGATTTGTTAAATATTTTATAACCTTATTTATAATTCATAATTTATTTATTCTCTTTTGTTGGTGCTTGGTTTTTACTTTAAGCCTAAAACTCTTTGCTTGTCATACGATCTTTCGGCTTATCCTTGGAGAATTTTATGAGCTCCATCCAAAGAATATTTTGTCGCTTATGTAAAACTTCGACGTCACAGTATTTTGTGTGTAGCATTAAGTTTATTTCACGTTCAATCAAGTCAAACATCTGAAATGAGTTTTTTTTTT